AAGCCCAAATAGTCGCCCCAAGCCGACCCAAGAGGCCCTCAAGAGGGCCCTAAGACTATCCAAGGGGGCGCCACGACGGCCTGAGGACCGCCAAAACGGTCCAAACGGCCACCAAGCGAACCAAAGAAGCAGCCCCGAAGGGAAACCCGAACGGATATTTTTGAGCCTCCACCCGAAGATGGCCCCAAGAGGGGCCCCCCGAGGCATTCCCAAGTAGCCCCCACAAGCCCCGAACGGCCTCCATGAGGCCCCTCAAGACGTCCCCGGAAGCCCCCAAGAAACCCCCCAACAGGACCCTAAGACGACCCCAGTTGCAACGTTCGAAGCAAGCACAATATGTATCGGAGCAGGCCGGGGGATGGGGCCTGGCCGCTGTCTGTACCCCCTATGGGCGCCCCCCAGAAGTTCTGGGGGGTCTCAGAGCTCCCGAGACGGCCCGGGCCCGCCCCGAAACAGGCCGCGACAGGCCAAGAGGGTCCCAAGAGGGCTTGAGACGGTCCCAAGAGGCCCCGAAAACGCCCAAGATGCCCCCAAAACGGCCGACGAGGACGGAGCCAAGAGGCTCCCCAAGAGGGCCATGGGAGGCAAACTTTATTGTCCGATGATTTTCATAAATTCTGGCGTTTTCGCTTTTCCCGCTTCCCAGCGCTCCCTCACGGCCTCGGAGGCCCTTTCAGATCGCTCCAAGACGGCCCCCGAGGCCCCGCACAGAGGGCCCCAAGGCGGCCCAAGAGGCTCCCCAGACAACCCAAGTGTGCCCCAAGAGGGGGCTCAGAGGGGGGCCTGGCCCCAGAGGCCCCCCAGAGGTCACCAAGAGGCTCCCACGAAGCCCCGTGAGGCCCCCAAGAGGCCCCCAGGAAGCCCCAAGAGGCCCCCAAGGGACTCCAAGGGAACGCCCAAAAGGGCCCCCCAACACACCCCAACGAATCATGCCCCCAGAAAGCATTCCGGGGACATGGTTCTTCATGGGCCCGAGAGTCTCCAGAGGTTTTCAAGTACCATCGCTCTACCAGAGGGTTGTCTGGGAAGTTGATTGGGAACATGACAGATCGCTTTCTCGCGGCCCTCCGCGGATCGTTTCGCACATAGTTGCCCCTAATCCCCTCTTGAACCGACAACGACGACGAAGACGATGGAACGACGAAGACGAGGACGACGACGACGACGACGACGACGACGACGACGACGACGACGACGACGACGACGACGACGACGACGGCGCGCCCCAAGAGGCGACGACTTACGACGACGACGGCACGCCCCAACAGGTTCCCCAAGATTTCCCGAAAGCCACTGTTCCCAGAAGACTTTCTGGGAACCCGATTCAACAGGCCTCCGCTGCCCTGCGCAACCATCTTCCCCGAAAGCCTTCCGGAATGCGGATTGACATGCATAGACGTCTCACTCCCAGTGATGTGTTCAGCGTTATGGGCGTTTCTTCATTTCCCGTTCAAACCATATGTGGTCCACTACTTCAGTGCAGCAGTGAATTCGTCAAGGCCTGGGGCCTGCTAAAACCTGAGTACGCGCAAAGCGCGCGCGATGTATCCAGTCTATGTATACATTTATTTGCGCATATACACGTGTAAACGCATCTATACATACATACATTCATTTATTCATTCATTCATTCATTTATTCATTCATTCATTCATTCATTCATATATATATATATATAATATAATATACATCTGTATGTGAACAGTTGTACATACTGACATAGGTGTACGTGTGCAGATGCATATACATACCGGGAAAAGGAGGAAGGAGGCGGGAGGAGGAGAGCGGAAAGGGGGCAAGCAGAGGCGGAAGCGGAGCGGGAATGGCGAGGGAGGGCGGTAAGGCAGAGGTGGAGCGAAGCGAGGGGGGAGAAGCGGAGGCGCCTTCCCGTCGGCCTGCTCTCGCTCCTCCCACGGGCCCCCCACCCATCCACGGAGCTCGGGCAGGTCCGCGACTTCGGCCGCCAGTCGTTGGAGCGAAGCGGGAGCGAAAGCGCCGAAAAGTGCGAGTCGGAAGCCGGTTGATTTGGGCGAGACCACGCTTTTATCAGGCGATCGCAGACATGGATTAAAGGGGCGTGGATTAGCGATAGTTCCCAGTCCCATGGGAAGTCCTGGATTTCCGCCGCCGAGCAAGGCGGCACCGGCCGCATTTTGGGGAGGGCACCTCCCCCAATCCATGGATTTGGCGACGCCAGATCCATGGATCGCTAATCCATGTTTGCGCCCCCCCCGACTTTAGCGCGAACCTATACCATACCATAGCCCACCCATCCACCCCATCTGCCGCCCCCTGCACCCGCCTCCCCCGCCTTTGCTTCGGCCCAATGGGAGGAAGGAGGAGAAGGAGGGAGGGAGGAAAGAGGAGGGAGGAGGGAGGGCAGGGAGGAGCGAGGAGGGAGGAGGCAGGTCAAGGAGGAGGGAACAGTAGGAGAAAGAGGAGGAGGAGGAGGAGGAGGAGGAGGAGTACGAACAGTGAAACTAGGACAAGCTCCAGGCAGACGTGGAGCCACCCGAGATCGTCTGGTACCAGAATCTTGAAGTTCTCGGTGTCCACCCGCGTTCGTGCCAGCTGAAAAACTCAAAGCATGTTTTTTGTTTTATACGAAATTGGTTCCGCCAAGTGTTTTGATAGCAATACTACAGCTAAGAACCTGAGAATTTGACAGGCCGACGCGCCATAACCTACTACAGGTGCAGAAAATAAAGGAGCTGTGTAGCTTGCTTCCTGATCAGCGCGCATGCTGACTCGCTGCCGTGAACAATTCCGGGCGCGAGGCACCGCGCGAACCGCCGCAAAGAATTATGTTTGTGAGAGGTGGCATTACAAGGTCGCGACTTTCACACGCGGGTGAAGGGCATCCGCTGGTTGGTTAACCCTAACAGTGGTTACGCGCCTCGCCGCATGAGGCACAAGAGTCCTCACTTCCCGTGTGCGCACCAGACCGCACTTTCCTGGAAGTTGCTGGTTTCCATGACCCGATTACCGACAAGACCGACAAGTTAAAGGGTCATGCGAACATCGATTTTCCAGGGTCACGTTCGTTGGACCAACATCGAGCAGTTTCAGAACGCTTGGTCGAGCACGGGCAAATGGTGACCTTGGCGATGTCACCAACAGGTTACGCATGCTGCGGTCCGACTACCACGGCGGCGACGCGAAGAGGGCTGGTGGCTGGGCGCATTCACCAAATGCGCACAGGCGTTGTTCAGGCGTTGGCTTAAAAATTTTACATCCTCACTTTTTTCCCTACCCGGTGGTGTTACCAAAATTGTTGACGCTTCGCGTATCCCCACCAGCCCATCCAGAAACGATGCTCAGGGGAGTTCAGGTGATCAGGGAAGTCGGGGAGCATGCAGAATAACAAAGGGCGGGGGAAGCTGTCACAGACCCCGAGAGGGGGAGGATGGAAGAGGAGTCGTCGTCGTCGTCGTCGTCGTCGGAGGAGGAGGAGGAGGAGGAGGGGGAAGAGGAGGAGGAGGAGGAGGAGGAGGAGGACGGAGAAGGAGGAAGAATCGGAGGAGGAGGAGGAGGAGGGGAAGGAGCTTCTTGGGGGTCTTTTGAGGGCCTCTTGGAGGGCTTTTTGGGCGCCTTGGGGCATCTTGGGCGCCTCTTGGGACCCTCTTGAGGCGCTCTGGGGAGCCTTCGGGGCGCTTTTGGGGCCATCTTGGAGGGAGTCGATCAAACAAGAGGGGGGGTTTAATTAGCGTCCCCCCTCGGAAGCCCCTAAAATCGCCTCTTGGACCCCTCTTGGAACGCTCTTGGAGTGCTCTTGGGCGCTCTTGGGGCCGTCTTGGGGCTCTTTTGGGGCTCTCTTGGGGCCCTCTTGGGCCATCTTGGAGCCATCTCCAGGCCTCGGATGGCCATCGGAAGCGAAAAGGCGAGAAAGCAAAAATCATTGATTTTCCTTAGGTTTTGGGACGATTTTGGCCTCTTCGGGGCCTCCTTGGGGAGCTGTTTGGCCACTTGGAGTTATCTTGGGGCCGTCTTTGGGCTTCTTGGAACCATCTTAGGAGCCATCGTGAGCGATCTTGCGCTATCTTGAGCCATCTTGGAGCTCATCTTGGGTTCTCTGAGGCGCTCTTGGAGCCGTCTTGGGCCATCTTGGACGCTCTAACTACCCGCGGCCCCCCCCGTCCAGGTCCAGGGGAGGGGGTAGGGGGAGGGGTAAACCCCTCCCCAAGGGGGAAGAGGGAGGGGTGGAAGAGGATCTGCTCTAGACCACCTACGCCCAGAGGGCTGGTGGGATTGATGTTACACTATATCAGTTTGACGAGTATGATTTTTAGAACAGATATATGTGTATATATATATACACACTGATGTTTGCGCACGCCGTATTCGCTTGTGCACTGAACTAACAGGCTGAATGTGATGTTGTGTTTCTTTCGACCGCCACCCACCCTGGCAACGATGATGTTTCATTCGTCCAGGTCACTTATTGGTTCCAATGCCATTCCATTCAATGATGCGGCAATTACAGGCCGAGGGAGGAGTAATAGGGTGACCTGGTCAGGAGAATGGTGGTGTTAATCGTTACCAACCGCTTGTCGCGATCGACGCCGTTTCGTCCCTGGGCATTCGTCGTATATGAGGAAAAGAAGGAGCCTATGAGGGGGAGGAGGGAGTGAGCGTCCGTTGCCTCCTTGCCCGTTGGCGGGCACGGTTCGCTGCTTCTCTGCAGTGGCCCGTCGTTGTTGTTTCCGCGCATGGCACGGTAGCAAATCATGGGAGCCTGGTATACCTTCTTAATACCGTCTTAAGCATCGCATCGAATAGCGTCGACTAGCGTCCAGGAGCCGATGGGATAGCAACGATTTAGCCGCGATTAGCATCGATTTGGCGTCGACGAACGTCGATCTAGCGACGATTAGAGTCGATTCGCAAGAGCCGACAGGATGTTACGAGTTGCTACAGAACGCTGGTTTGCGTGTCGTCTCCCCGCATGGTTCACTGGCGAGCGCGTGCCGCGCGCCGCCCCCCCGCCTCGCCTTGCCCAGCGGCAGCTCGGCAGCTCGGCCGGAGGCACGCCGGAGGCCGTCTTTGCGTCCCTGGGCAGACACCGGGCGGAGCTATGCAGTGAAGGGGTGTTCCCCGCATCCAAAGCGGTATTTTTGTTACATTCTTTGAACACCGCTCTCACATTCACATCATCATCATCATCATCATCATCATCATCATCATCATCATCATCAGCATCAGCATCAGCATCAGCATCAGCATCATCATCATCATCATCATCATCAGCAGCAGCAGCAGCATCATCATCATCATCATCATCATCATCATCATCATCTCATTCACATCATCATCCTTCATCATTCATCGCTCTCACTCTCTTCTCATTATTGAATCGCTTCGCTCATTCCGCCGGCCCATAGTGTAGCGTCGCTGGCACTTGCTTGCGTGCTCGGGGGGGCATTTGGGTGGCCTCCTGGGGCCGCTTGGGGGCCTCTTGGGGGCCTCCTGAGGGCCTGTTGGGGGCCTCTTGGGGCCTCTTAGGGGCCTCTTGGGGCCTCCTGGGGACTTCTGAGGGCCGAGGGCTCGAAATATTGTTTCGTGTTCCCCCCCTGGGGTCCCTCTTGGGGCGTTCTTGGGGCCCTCTTGGGCCGTCTTGGAGGCCTCTTGGGCCGTCTCGGAGCCCTCTTGGGCGTCTTGGGGCCCTCTTGGGGGCCTCTTGGGCCCTCTTGGGGCGGTCTTGGGGGCCTCTTGGGCCGTCTTGGGGTGTCGTGAAGCCGAAAAGGTGGAAACGCCAAAATCTCTCCAAAACCTAAGGAAAAGCAGTGAATTTTGCCTCTTGGGGCCCTCTCGGGAGTGCTCTTGGAGGCCTCTTGGGGCGTCTGGGGGCCATCGTGGGCGTCTTGGAGCGATCTTGTGGCATCTTGGACCCCTCATGTAGCATCTTGGGGGCCTCTTGGAAGCCTCTTGGCCCTTCTTGGGGCTCTCGGGGACGTCTCGGAGCCGCGTTGGTGCGCTGCTGGAGCGCCCTGGTGACTCCTCCCGGGACTCTCTCGGGACCTTGCCGGGGTACTTTCCGCCCGGGGGCCCCCAGGGGCCGCCCCGCGCGCGCGAAGTAGAAAGATTGTAAAGCAGTCACCGGAGATCTTAGCACGCCTCTGGCCCGTTGGGCCGGCGAATTATCATCATCATCGTCATCGTCATCGTCATCATCATCATCATCATCATCATCATCATCATCATCATCATCATCACCAGCATCATCATCATCATCATCATCATCATCATCATCATCATCATCCGCGAAGTCATCATCACCACCACATCATCATCGCTGACTCATTCGCACACACTCTCATTCTCCAACTCACTCAGCCACTCACAAGTAGCATTCATCATTCATCATCATCCTCATCCTCATCATCATCACTAGTATCATCATCATCATCATCATCATCATCATCATCATCATCATCATCATCATCATCATCATAGCCTCGTCCTGTGAGTGAATTGCGAGGAAGTTTCAGGCGGGAGCCCCCTCCCTATGGGGCCCGCCGCTCACGTTTTTAATTCGAGCGGGTCATCGGAACCCTTCAATTGTCGTCATTGTTGGGCCCCTGAGGCTTGAATTTGCAGGAAGTATTAGAGGGGAGCCTCGTCTGTGAGTGAATTGCGAACAAGTCTCAGGCGGTAGCCCGCCCTCCCTATGGGGCCCACTGATCATGTTTTTTCCCCGAGCGGGTCATCGGAAGCTTGAGGTTGTCGTCACTTTGGGGCCCCTGAGGCCTGAACACGCGGGAGCTTCGTCTGTGAGCGAATTGCAGGGAAGTCTCAATTGCGAGCCTCCTCCCCCTGGGGCCCGCCGATCACGGTTATTATCTAAGCGGGCCATCGGAACCTTGTAACCGTCGTCACGTTTGGGCCCCTGAGGCTCGAATATGGAGGAGGTATCATGTGGGAGCCTCGTCTGTGACTGAATCGCAGGGGAATATCACGCGGGAGCCCCCTCCCTATGGGACACGCCGCTCACGCTTTAATGCGAGCGGATCATCGGAACCCTGTAACCGTCATCATTTTTGGGTTTTTGGCCCCATGATGCCTGAACGTAGAGGAACTATCCGGCGGAAGCCTCGTCTGTGAGCGAATTGCGAGGAAGATTCAGGCGGGAACCGTCTACCTATGGGGCCCGCCGTTCACGTTTTTTTGTCCGAGCGTGTCATCGGGATCCTGTGATTGTCGTCATGTTTGGGCCCGTGAGGTTGGAGACGGAGGAAGTATCAGGCGGGTGAGAGCCGCGCTGTATATCGCGCTGGGCCTTCGCGTGCCACGGACGCAGTGACACGCACGACGTGTAGGAATCCACATAACTGCGGTCGCACCACCATGTCGGGAGCGTCCGCATCGCGTTGCACCGCGGCGATTTCCTGCAGCTGAAGCCCACCAGCAGTATCGGCTTCTTGACGGACGTGAACGAAATCTTGGACTACGGGTCCTATAAGTACGCGGGGCCCTCGGTGGTGGAGATTCGGCGCGCCATCAAGATGTTTTCTCAGATCCCTGCCCCAGGGACCCTCTGATCATGTTATTGGGCTGCACGCGCGAGGGCAAGCCCTTCCCGACTGAGGTCTGGCACGCCTGGGTAACAACGTTGACCTCGGACAACCACGGCGCCCTGGACTCTGGGGCACCAGAACTGAATTTTACGGTTCGGCTACGGCGCGGGCATCTATTGAGAAACGCTGGCGAGGTGGATCAACGCGCTCGCGCTTGTCGCGACGCGCGGCGCCCGGGCACGCCCCTCTTTTTTTCGCGCGCCGCGGGCGAGCGCAACGCGATCCAGGGCGACCCCGACGCGGGCCAGCGCCCCTTGGACGCTCCGAACATGCACGAGACGGGGGGCACCCGCGGCGCCTTATTGGCCCACGTCGGCACTGAGGCGGGATTCACGGCAGCGCGAGAAGAGCTGAAGAAGAAATTGGTTCTCGTGCAGGAGGAACGAGCCACCGTCGCATCCTTGAAGTTTCGCCGCGAGGGCGAGCAGCGGCGCGAGGAGCGCTCGCCAGGCCTGCATTTCCGCCCCGTCTACCTACCGCAGGGGGCCTGGCTGCAGGTGCACGGCTTCGAGGAGTCCGATCTACCAGGAGGTCGTCGAGGCGTTGCTACAGGGCGAGGAGCCCGCTCGCGTTCAGGCCCAGCAAGCAGGAGCTCACGCGGCAGAGATCGGTGCCGCGCGCCGTTCGGGGTTCACCGCGACGCGCGCGTCGCGCCTCACCTCCGCGCTGTCGCAGGGCCAGGCGCTGCGCATGGGCGCCGCCGTCGACTGCGCGAGGGGCGAGGGCGCCGGTCGCGCGGGCACGTCGGACAAGCAGCGGTGGCCGCACGCACCTCTACGTCGCGTTCCCCTGCGCAACGCGCGCGCGGAACGCGCGGCCGCCGCCGCGAGAGTTCCCGGAGAGAGGGCCGCGGGCATCCATGCGAAAGGCGCTCCTGGAGCCCGACGTCGAGGCAGAGAGCTCCACAGGGGGGAGCCGGAGCAGCTCGCGGCAGAGCTGGGCTTCGCGTTGCCCCCCGCCCGAGCGCGGCGGCGCCCCTCTCGGTTCCCGCGGCATTGCCCCGACGGGTTGGTTTCGCGCGCCAGCGGCTCGCAGGGTTGCCCGGACGGCCTGGCCCGCGGGGCCGCCCCCGACGGCTGCGCGATTTCGCCGTCGGATAACGCGCCCCTGCCAGGCGCGGCGGCGAGGGCGCCGCGGGAAATCTACGCGCGCGCCCCCGCCAGGAGGAAGGAGAGGCGCAGGGGGGGAACGAGCGGGGCGGCAACGAGGACGGGGAGTAGGAGGAGGAGGAGGTGGATGGGGGGCAAGGCAAAGGCCGAGGAGGAGGAGGGGGAACGCGAGGAGGAGATGGAGGAAGTGTAGGGGGCGGAGGAGGAGGAGGAAGAGGAGGCGGAAGAGGAAGAGGGTGGGAGATGCCACGAGTAGGGCGAGAAGGAAAAGTAGGAGGAGGAGGAGGAGAAGGAGGAGGAGGAGGACGGCGAGGGCGGAGGGATGCCCCCGCCAGACGAAGAAAAAAGGCGAGGGGTGAGCTAAAACGATTTTGTGCGGGGTCCTACCGTCGGAGTAGTTGGTTTTCGAGGTTCGAGGTTCCGTGATCGAGTTCTCCCCTAGAGCCTTTTGTGTTTCTGGAGCCTCTCGCCCTCCTCTCTCCCCCGCGGTTTTTTGTTTGTTGCGTTTCCCCCCCACGCCTGCCCGCTGGCCACTTAGCTTTGGAATGCCTTTGCATCGCTGCAACGGTGGAGCGGATTGTCCCGCTTCACTACCCACGGGAAAATTTGTGGGGCCTTGTTTGAGGCCCCCGGGGACCCCGTTCGGGAGGAACTCGCAGAATCCCGCACCCAAGGAGGTCGAGAACGACTTCTCTTGCACTCATTCGCATCACCGGTGCCCCGAGGTTGCGGTCGTCGATGCGACGCGACATGGCGAGTCAACGCGTGAACCTTCTGCAGGGGCGCGTCAGGAACTCGGCAGGAAAAGAGCAACATCCAATCCGGTGTTTTTTTGCCAGCTCTGCTCCAATTTTGCTGTCCACCGTGGCGCCATTTCGCGGACAAACGGCAGACCATGCAAATTGTCCGAGCGACGTGCGGCGCGTTTTGGACCGACGTCGGCGGTGGTATGGCCGTGGTCATCTAGACGATTTGAACGCGCCCGCGATGTTGTTGAAGTTTGTGCATACGCACCCATAGCCCCCGCAGCATCGGATAGGAAAGAGAGGTGCTACGGGAATCAAGCCAACCGCCTCTGCCTGCGCATGATGTCCTGCGCAAGTCGGAATGTGGTGTCACCGCCAGGCCTTAAGCTGGCCAGGGCCAAACCGCTGGGGGAGAGGGTGGGGTGGAAACGACCGATGGAAGTTCGCCGCTGACGACGATGATTTTGATTTCTTTCTCCTGCAAGGTAGACACCGCGTTCGGCCATGAGGGACGCGGGCAGCATAGGTTCTTTTGGGATCCGAAGAGATTACACTTCAGCCTCTTGGTCAGTAGTTCTAAACGTTATCGCGCAACCCCACCCCAGCC